TGTATTCCTATATTCTCTATATCTGCACCCCTTGTCCTGTGTCCTATGCCCGACGTCCTATTATCCTTCTCTTTATATGCTGGCGCTACTTCTCTTTCTCTTATTCAACTTGATAATGTCTCATACCTGGTGCCTCATGCCATGCGGTATTTCCATTTGGATAACTACGAAAATTTACCGTGTCAAATTCATTATCATTAAATTACATTGATAAATGTAAATGTATCATTAATTTATTTTCAGAGTGACTAAAATAGTCCGCGATCTCAATAAAGAAAACATTATTCATAGGATTGTTTTTTTTTTTTTTTTTTTTTTTTTTTTTTTTTTAAATTTTTATTGGTTTTTTTATCCCAGCAAAGCGGAGTTGTTAAAATATTAACAGTAAATAGTAAAAAAAAAAAAATGTAAATTAACATGTATGAAGCGGTACAGGTATATAGAGACATAAATTCGAGTTGTAATAATTTGAGTAATTTATTAGCAAGCAGGAGGGTAAAAATTAATGTGTGAAATTCTCTTGTTCGCGTTTAGCTGGTGAGAGAAGGTCGGCGCGTCTGCGCGAGCCGACATTCGATCTGAATATCGACTCTCTTTAATACGCAACACGTACACTCAGCTCTACTCTCTACCCACTATATAATACTATAGTAGTGTGAGTTGTTGTTGTTGTACTACTATACACTTAGTAATGTTCAATTTTAATCGGCTTATCCGACTGATGTCTGTTTAAATTTTAGTACCTCATTTATGAAGATTCTCATACAACAGAGAGGCTTATATCTACATACTCTAATAACAAAAAATTATTGCGCCTGAATTGGGTGAATTCCTCTCTTAAACTACTGATAAATTTTATCCACGCTCGTTTCATAGTTGTAAAAACATAATTACGCGTGCATGTGTACTTAATATTTAAAAAAAAAAATACAGAAATAAAGAAAGAAAGAAAAAACGATATTATTAAATTCTACATCCCCAGCAGCTTATTACACCGAGTTTTTCACCAGCAGTAATCTCGTACTCTAGGTATTATTTAATTTCGTGTATGAGAATTGAAAATTCTTTGCCGGAAAAAAAAAAAAACTAATAATAATAACAATAGTGAATAAAATATTTAACTCGACGCAGTATAGAGATGGATATTGTTTAGATCTGACAGTGACCCTCTAATAACGATTCTGATGACAACTAGTTATTTTATTAGCTTATTAAAAAATAATTCAAACCGCTAATTAATAAATATTAATAAAGTAATTATGAAATAATTGATAAATAAATTTGGATATTTGATAAATCTTACAGCGAGTTGTATATCTTTGGTAGAAATAATTAATTGGTGTTTCGAGACACCTGTGGCCTTTGTCGTGACCCATCGCTACATCGATCCGCTTTGCGTACCGTAGTCTCTGCTTCACTTGTCCGCTTGTTAAAATGTTATACTACTACTGTACCGAAGGTATACTCTATATATACAGGCCGTACACCGACTGCGACCAGGTGATGTCGTGTGTCGTGTGTGCTATGATGAATAATCTGGCGTCCAGGTAACCCCATTTGTCCAATATTTACTCTATATGTCTCTATAATTAAATATATATGTCCTGACAAACCATTTGTTATTCTCTTTCACTTTTATTTTATTTTGTCTTTTTGTTGATATATATTATTTTCCAGCTGTGTTCCCGTTAAATAATAAACTTTTTCTCTTATTAAACAATTAGTAATTTGTCACTTTTATTAATAGTAGTATCTTCAATAGCACCAGCGAGTGTTATTGTAAAAAAATTTATAATATAATAATGATAAAAATAACAGGGAAAAGATATATCGATATTTAGATTAAATGTGGAATACATTAATAATCGTTAGATGAATAAATTTAATAGACGCTTACAGTGATGTTATATTAAAAATAATTTATTTTAACGGAGATTTTTAATAAATAATAATTATTAAATCAAGCTTGATTGAGTTTTATTGCTTTATAATTTGCATCTTTGAGTTAGATATTATTTATAAATATAAAATTAAGCAATAAAGGGCTTTATGTTCTCTAAAAGCGTAATAAATAGCGTAGAAAGAGAGAGAGAATGAAAATATAAAGAGTAAAATATAGTTTGTGAAAAGCAATTTCGCCAGGATTTAACCTTACTGGTGGTGTTCTCCTGGATGATGGTAGAAGTTATTTTGGTGGGCAAGTAAAAGTTGTGATCGAATGACACGAAACACGTAAACTAAAACGTACAAGAGGATATAGTCAGTACCGGTACTTGTATACACTGTTATGTACTAGTGAGTAAACCAGCGTATCCTGTATTTTACCCTAAAAGAGAAGAGACCAACCAGAGGAGATGAGCTAACCCGCCAGCAATATAGCTGCTGAAGGTGTAAGGTGTAAGGTGGATGTACGAAGGTTCATGTAGGAAAATAACCGTGGCAACAACTTGTCGCTAACGATAGTGAACAAGTTAACAGGCGAACATTGTATTTAGACACAATCACAGAGTTATCTTCTTGCCTTTCCCATGTGTGATCTACGTCAACGGGTAATATAAACTTTAAGTGATAATTTAGTTTTAGAGAATGCATAAATAAATTATCTTTTAGCTTCTCTATAGTTTATATATCAATTTTAAATACCTTTTAGTTAAAGAAAACTGACAAACTTGTAATTAACTTTTTTATTTTATTTTATTTTATTTTATCACTTTAATAAACTTTTGGTGAAATAGATAAATAGGGCGAGATAAAATATTTAAAAACTCTCGGGTAAACTTTTTCAACGATCGATAAATTTAAAAATAATTTAATGGTTCAAAAAAATACTTTTTAAGGTTTTTTTTTATTGAGAATAAAATTCAACAAGATAAATATATGTGATGAAAAACTGTCAATACGAGCATTATATTTTTAACGATAACGACGCGAGCACTTGATATGATTGTTGGCCAGGAAAATTGAATATATTTTAGTATACTATAATACGAAAATATTGAATACGAGAGAGTAAAATCCAACAACTCTTATATAAATAGTTCAGTATTTATTGAACCTCTGGATGATTTTTATAAAAACCAACTATTTATTTTTATCATATCTTCAACACACATTTTGGTATTCATTACACCATTTCATTATCTCTCAACTACGGGAACTGTGAAAGTTTGCAAGTGAACTTTGAAGATTTACAGCTTGCACCAGAGAAATCCAAGTGGCAATACTAACGGAACTCTCTTGAATAATGAACATCGGGACATCTATTGGATTGTTAAACGTTCTGCATTGCTGCTCTCTTCATCAAGTATCCTTTATATTCTTCTTCTACTTCTTCTTCTTTGGCCATTTCTCTTTGTATATATCCAATTGAACAAAAGTTTCTTGCATCACAGAGCCACACTCACATTGTACTTTACACATTTTCCTGCTTTACGATCTCTTTCTTCTTATATATATATATATATATATATATACACATTTAAGCCGAAAAGTCTTTAAATTATCTTTTAGCCGAATCTTTGTAAGAATGGATTCACTTTTTTATTGTTTCAACTTTTCTACACTGTTCTCTATCTCTAAAACTTCTTCTTTTTCTTCTTTGTGTGTATTAATGTAAATATCTATGTGTTTTTCATTTCTGCGCTATTGTGGGACTAGCAAAAGCTTTTATTTGCGAAAAGAAAACGAGACAACGTTTTTTTTTTTTTTTTTCTTCTTCTTTTAACACAAATTTATTCAAGTGAAACGTTCTTTAGATCGATCAACAATGCGGGTTTAATATTTTTGCTTTGTTAAAACTTGGATAAATTCTTAAATTCACTCTCCAGCTTAAACTTTGTAACTTTAAATATTTTAACTTGATTTTTATTTTAATTAATAATCAATTAGTAATTCTATTATTTTTATTATACAAATGGATTTTTCATGTATATTGAGAATAGACTTTTATTTTCAATAAAACATTTCTTAATTCGCAGTATTGATTTTACGGGTTCTATATTTATTATTATGAAAAATTAATTATTTCGATGGAGAGTGCCGTGAAAATCGATACATGTCACTCATATGATAATAATAACACCAACAATAAATCCATGAGTAATTACAGGAAAGGATTATGGAGAGGAACTTCTTAATGTGAGTGTATAGAATATGTGAGAAAAAATTATTAGATAGCTCGGACTGGGATTCGAACCCAGAACCTTCCGAAGACATGTCGGCTACTCTACCATTTGAGCTATCCGGTCTATACTAAATTTCCTTTCACTTATTCTATATATATTAAGCCACACCGTCCATCTTACGGCTAGCATTTTTAACAAATATAAATAATGCTGTGAAGCGGGAAAGAATAGGAGTTACGGATAATAGGATTGAAGACAAACAAAAATTTATAGTGAATAATAAATATATATCAATAATTGAATTAAACTTGGGCAATGATGACAATACCAAACGATTTAGAGTAATTAGTTAAATTAGTTATCGACATTATAAGTCAGCACAGAACAATTGATTGGTGAGACAAGCCATTAGCTACTACTAGTAGCTGTCGTCGCTTGAACAATCTCGAAAGCGCTAAAGAGAAAGAGAGACTAGACGGAACAGAGGAATATTCGCGTCAGACACAATTATCCCCATAGTCGTTGTATTACTATTCATCTATATCTATAGTTATAGTTATGTATACACTTGAATCTCGAATGACTGGCCAAAGTGATTATTCTATTCACAGTAGTATAGTAATAATAATATAAGAAGTAACTCGGATGGATCGGGATTGGGATTGGCATGTACTACAAATGATGAGAATATAATCTAAAATTACATCCTGTTATGTCTTCTCAACATTATACTCACTTTGCCGCCGACAAAACTTTAGCTATTATCATTATAGGTCCTATATATATATACAATATAATTCAACTATTATTCAAAAGAAAAAAATTTTATCCATAGAATAATTTTTTAAAATTATTAATCAATTAATAAATTTGATATTTTCAGGACAAAAAGAACCCAAAGATGGACAAGAAGATGCTGGTTAATAATGACAATATGCTGTTGGATGACAATTACCGTGAGATCTACTGTTGCGACAAACTCGTCAGCAGGACCATCGACGCTAAGGCCAGCAACGACCGAGATAGTTTATCAGAGATTTGCAATAGAGCCTCAGGATCAGACAGCCGTTATCGGGAGCCGAGTGACACTTCCGTGTCGGGTGCTTGACCAAAAGGGCCCCATTCAGTGGACCAAAGATGACTTTGGCCTTGGGGCCGTAAGAAATCTCACTGGATACGAACGCTACGCCATGATCGGTAGCGACGAAGAAGGTAGATCATATATATTCATTCATTTTTATCTTTTTTTGTCACACGTCTATTATTCGATCATATCAAATATTATATTGCAATCAATTTTTGTTATTGAATGTTTTCATGTACGAATAAATGACGAAAAATGTTCGATAGGAAAATGAAAAGCGAAAAAATTCAGCTATATCAATATTAAACCCGGGAATATTGAAAAAACGCTTTGATTAAATACTATCAGCCAGTTCTATAATTGACATTGATTACTGTATACGCTGACCTATTTAATACTTTTAATTCAAATATCTCGTATACTGTACACAGGAACAAAAGACAAAAAATTTTATAAATTTTCGTAAAATACTGATCCAATTTTTTTTTTATTCAAATTCAAATGATAATAATGATGTTTACTATAATATCCTATCACTTAAACACGAAATTATACAGCAGAAATAGACATTGCTGGACATGAACCACGTAACGTTTGTATCAATGTTTAATGCATGAGCCATACACAGCGTGGTAACTTTGAAACACTTTGGCCGGTGTTTCAATACGCGTACACCAATCGACATTTAGATCCACCGGGTATTATATATATATATATATATATATATATATATATTATATGTGTTTATGTATCTATGTATGTAAATATTATTGTCACAGAATATCAGATGCCTCGTAGATCGTTGTATCCAATGGTGTAAATAATGCATACGACATTGCTGTTTCGTACTATGAATATAAATATTTAGTAAAGAGTTTGCTTCGCTTCATTCATCTTAAAAATTTATCACCAAACTAAATAATTGAGTACACTCTGCTACAATACATTCATTTAAATATCACCTTTAATTTATTAAAAAGTTATTGATGTATTTTTTTTAATTAAATTCCTAAAAAAGAGCGATATTTGGTAATTACTATTGAATTTACTGGCTGTGTTTAAAATTGCTAAAAGTTAAAAAAATTTTTGTTTCAATATTACACAGAAAGATATTGTTAATTTAAGGCGAAGCTTTTTATTATATTGAATAATTAAATACTCAGAGAGTTTTTAAATAAATTTTTGTCTTTTTAAAATCATTTTTATCGCGAATGATTTATTAATTGATTTTAATATTTGAAAAAAAAAAAAAAAAAAAAAAAAAAAAAAAAAAAACCATATAAAATATGGAGAGAAATATTTTTTAAAAATAATATCCAACCTATTTCCATAGTACACAAATAGTGGGTGAGTGTGTGGATTTATTATTTTTTAATAAATTTATCAAAAGCAATATAAACTAAAAATTGATTGGATTTGATCCTAATACGTAAACCATGATGAGTACAAGTGCCGTAAACTCCCTGCGGTATAATGAGCTTTCGATAAACTTTTTCTAGGATACTTAATAAAAGTCGAAGGTTAAATGTGTCGGTTGAAAATAAAGATAAAAAAGCATATTATGGAAAGAAAACCCTCATCAGACAAATAGCAATAGAAAAGTTTAAGTCTCAATAGCCTCTTATGCTGGAGCAGCAGTTGCAGAACCAGCAAAAGATATATATCTATTATATAAAAGTCTGACATGTTCCGAAAAATCACTGGGAATCGTCTTTGATATCTAGTAGATTTTCTGGGCTTTAAGCCAACCATTGAACCATTGAGATTGCTTACAGCAGTTGAGTGTGAACGATTCTGAGGGAGAGACCAAGAGAGACCGATAAAGATAGAAAGATAGCCGTTGAATATTTAATGCCCCGAATAAATAATCGAGATAGTTGGTCGGGGGGCGTCTATTATTGCGATAGTAAATTCGATGTGATGTCGATAGCACAACCCAAGTATTAGCACAACTATATACATACACTGCGCACACTGAGAATTCGACGGCTTTTGCTTCTGCTACTACTGCTACTACTGCTACTACTGCTGGGCTTTCAAAGCGGCGTCCGGTACCCGGTAGTCACCTCTCTGCATCCAATAACCTTCATAATTCGATGAGGGAAATTAGCAACGGTTATGTATATAATAATAAGACCCCCTACTCCCATTATTTCGAATTGACGTAAATGTTAATGCGGGTTATGGTTCTCTCTCTTTGTAATTCTATCCCCGTATTATGACAAACACACTATCACTATCATATTATAATTATCAGAAATAATATTTTCTCTCAATATCTCAGTATACAGCTCGGTCTCTTTCCCTTTTAACAGTCAAAGCCCGGGTGGTTTATATCGATTCAGCAACTTGGATCTGACATTAATTGAGTCTGTAAATTTCACGAGTATGAGGAGAATATATCTATCTATACCGACATACGAATTCACATCTACACCTGACATAATATCAAGCATACACAGTTCACTTTTTACCGGCAATTAATTTTTATTTTTATTATTAGTTCCTTTTTTTATTTTTTATATTTTGTTCCCTCATTAATTAAATATAAAATTTATCTTCAGTAGTATATCAAAATAGTCTGTAAAAAAGCTCTATAGTGAGCTGTACAAAGGAATTATTACTATTTTATTACTAATATAGCAGCTTTAAACTTTTATAAGTATTTCGTTATTAAATTAATTAAATTAATTAAATTAATTAAAAGTTTGGCTGTTTATTTTATAATTGTATTAAAAATATTAATCATTCGGCTATTAAATTAAGATTGTTCTTATTAAAAAAAAAAAAAAAAAAATTATTATAATTAAAATTTTTTTACAAGTATAACGTTGATAGTGATAAAATAAAAATTATTTATTCATATTCATGTATACACATTATGCAAGTACACTTACACAAAGTCACCACTTGATAAGTGTATGCATATTGTATAGGTATTGTATATGTTGTATATATCGATTTACGGGAGCAACATTATTCGCGCAAGAGCGTGCGGCAAATGTTTCAGAACTAATTCAAACTTGACGGTAATTGCGTAGTATGTAACGTCATTTTCGTAAGTCTATAGTCCAGCTTGTACAATAACACGTATATAAACTCCGACAATTAATGTACTATTAAAATCATCTAAATATGTAATATGTATATATACGAGAGTTACTTTGCAGTAAGAACTCTCAAACATGTCTGACTATGACAGGAATACATACCAACTATTCTGCCTCAGCTTGTCAAAAGTTAATGTTATGCAACTTGAAAGTAATAACAAAATTTTATAATAAATATTCAAGAGATGTTTTATTGTCGGTTTGATATCAAATAAATTATGAATTATATTAATTAAAATAATAATAAAATATTTGAATGAAATTTCAGGTGATTTTTCACTGCACATATTCCCAGTAGAGTTGGAAGACGACGGAAAGTACCAGTGTCAAGTGTCGCCTACAGATGACGGTCAACCCGGTCTGAGATCGAGGTTCGCCCGATTAAGTGTTCTTGTACCACCGCAAAAGCCGAAAATCCTTCAGGGTGACTTTCTAGTTACTACCGAGGATCGAGAGCTTACGATGGAGTGCATTAGTGTCGGTGGAAAGCCAGCAGCGGATGTAAGTACATTATAAATTTAAAATTTTTTTTATTCCATTATCCACTATCCACTATCCACTATCCACTATACTGCATTACGTATATATACATACTTAATCAAGTTAATTTAATACTGCTCCAACTCTGGTAGTTCTCTCTGCGGCTCTAGCTCTGACTAGGTACATTTCGTCCACTAATATTGTAGTCCATGCAAAAAGGAATATTTAAAATTTAAGTTTATACCTCATACAGAGTGGATGAGTAGATTCCCGTACTTTTATCAAGGTATATAAACTTTACAAGGAAGACGAAATGGGAAAAGAAGAAAGAATAGTTGTGCAGGGTATAAATTCGCGTAGGCCAAAAGGCTTTAAAAGTTCGAGGGCGTTTTGCGACGACTAAGACGCCGCCGGGCGAACACTTGACAACCAAGTAAGAAGTTTAAGTAATAGGAGAAGAAGAAGAAGAAGAAAAAGAAGAAAAAGAAGAAAAAGAAGAAAAAGAAGAAAAAAAACCAGACCTAGATGACGATGATGATGAAGAAGAAGAAGAAAAAAGATAGGGTTGTTCTCGACTCAGCCACTTGAACCCCAGCTTTCTTTTTCCGTACATCGTCGTCGAGTCGAGTCAAGCCGGTCGAGTAAAGTCAAGTCGTCTTGCCCTGCTTATACTAGAGAGATAGTGAACAAGCCCCGCGCCAAGGATACTCTGACACTTGCTCTATTCTTCAGAACCTCCGTCATTTAAAACCTCAGTGTCATTAAAGTTTCACAGTTTGTTAGACTCTTCAACTCTTTCCTGGCTCACGAAGCCTCATTACTCATGTTTAAATACGATTTAATTTTAATGTCCTTAACTCTCAACTATTTTCTTTGTTTACCTAACTTTATTTAACATTAACTCTTTCTTCTTCTTCTTCTTTTTTTTTTTTTTTTTTTTTTTTTTTTTTTTTTTTTTATTTTATAATTAACTTTTTCCTATTTCATTATTATTAAACCTTTTTACTGCCAGTCTACTGGTATCCATTGACACAAACGTAATTTAATAGCTGAAAACTGGGAAACAACCCAGTAGTGGACTCTGTAAATGCATCACAGTTAATACTATATATATATATATATAATACTAGAAATTCTGAGGGAAAAGCTGTACAGCCTCTCTACTCAAAAGCTTATCTGTCGGAGACAAAATACGAGCATAAGGGCCTAAATCCGCTTAACCAAAAATTCACAGTAACAGAAACTACCTCAACTACTCGGCAGGCCATTTGTGGTAAAATAGAAGGACCTAAATCCGATAATTCTTTCGAATAATAAATTCCAAATAATAATCCCCTGTTCGGGATATAGGTTAATCAACTTTTTAAATTTAATTATGTTAAAAAAAAGTTTTGTTAATTTTCCAGATAAATTTTTCCTTCAGCTTAAATTTTCCAGACGTGACTCGGCGTAAAAATAAATAAATAAATCTCGAGATGAATTATTTAATTTTGTTTCCTTGAGATTTATAAATGGTGGGTTGTTTTTGGGGTCTTGCAATTTTTTTGTGATGATAAACAAGGATTGTTCTCTTGGCGATCGGGCATTAAACGAAAATTCCGACCATAAATATACTCTGTAGAGACTCATTGGAAAGAGTATCCATCATTCCCTGGAGAATCTTTCATCGGTCATATTTCTATCCTCATTTCGTTGGTTCGTTCGTTTTGTGTATCTGTGTATGTACTTTGGTGATACGAGAGATACAAGATATAGGAAAAGGAAAAGGTAAATGTATGTGGTGACCGGAGAAGGTATGGGTCTTTGGTATCCCTGTTCTGATTTTCTCTCCAGTCACGAGTGTATTTGGTATATAGCACAGCAAACCCCCATCAGCTGGTTCCCTAGCTCGCCGACTATTATAGACAGACACTCACTGTGAAAACTACCGGCGATAAATCTCAAAGGGAATCTCTCTGGTATACTACCTCCGGTAGATTAGACCTCAGAAATACCTTTAATGTACGATTTCATTTAATTTTTAAGTAATATATTGATATAAATGGATGAAAACCTGGAAAAAAAAAAAAAAAAAAAAAAAAAAAAAAAAACGAAAAAACAACAAAATCAATTAAACCTATATATTTTTATCAACAGGTGGCCTCAAAATCAATTACTCTCCTAATAGCAAAACGATTATTGATATTATTATCTACTTAATTGATTACATTAGTCATTATTATTATTATTATTATTATCATTTGTTCAGTTGTTTTATTTTATTTTTAATTGAAAATAATTGTTGTTATTTTGGGGTATTTTTGTTTTGAGAGAATAAACTGATAACAGTTAATAGTAATAGGTAATAATAAATATAAACCTGAAAGAGAGAAGCGGATGTAGAACATGGACTTTAGCATTTTATCTATATACTTAAACTTGATCTCCCGATAGAATTCTATCATGCTCACTAGAGTTTTAATAGTTTATTCTACCCGTAGTAGCCTTCGCTTGTCCAAACAACATTTCAGGTAATTGACTTATTTAGTATACCTAAACTTGTTATTTTGTTTTTTCCCCAACATTTTCACTTGCTGTTTTTCTCCCCTTAAATTTAAATATTTACCCTCCGCAACCTTGTCAAACACTTACTCTATAAACATGGAAATTATTTTTTTTTTTTTTAACTTTGTAACATGTCAACCCTAATATCATATTATATTATACTGTATAATTATTAAATCTAATATGTTAAGTGTCTTTTTTAATTAATTTTTTTATCCATAAAATTATTTATAATTAATATTTAATAAATTTTTTTTTTTAAAGAATGTTGATATTGATTTATGAAATAGCTTAAATTATTCTTGAATTAAAATTTAAAATTTAACGTGATATAAAAGACAAAATTAAGCACATACATTGCAATAATCGATAATAAATTCATATTAAAATATTCAATGTCTTTTAAAATTTATTATAATAATTTATTAAACGTAAGAAAATTTAGTTCAATTATAAATACTTTAAACTTTTGATTAATTATTTGATGATAAATTTTATTGAAAGATACATCTTTAGTTAGATAATAATAATAATAATAATAATAATAGTAATAGTAATAGTAATAATAAAACTTGTCAATCGTTTGATTAGATTGAATTTCCTGTGTTTAATTACATCCCACAAGATATCAAAATGAAATCACAATATAATTAATTCCATAGCCAGAATATATATTTGAAATAAATTGTTTTACAAGTGTAAATGAAATAAGTTTAGCGAATAATAATATTAAATACACAGCACCGGGTAATATATAATAAAACAGTATTAATGTGAGCCCATATATAATACAGATCAATTAACAATTAATTTGAACGGCGGTATTTAAACGAAATGAAATTGCCTATACAATATATATATATAAAGTGGAAAGAATAGATTGGAAAAAATCTGGAGCCTGTCTATACGGAATTATATATAGTGAACATGAACATAATATAAATATTGACGGTGGTAGTAGTAGTGTATATGTAAACTGCGAATGCTAGGCATTCCAAAATAACAGTTTTTCCGAGTATAAACGAACGAACGCATATCCCAATGGATAACAAATTCCCTTCACACATACGTACATACGTACATACGTACATACGTAGGTAGATTGAGCATACATAGCAATGCAAATGGAAGCAGACTCGGAAATCGGCTGTCTTTCAACATAAAACCTATTGGATTTATTTAACTTTATTTTTCATTTATTTATTTATTTATTTATTTATTTGATAAATTGTCGCTGAAACTAGTAGGGAAAACTACTTGAATATACATGTAGAGATCTTTTTAGCGTAGACACAATCCAACAACTGATGCACTGGCTTACTCAAGTTGGTTGTTGTAACTTTCTCTTGCTGCTATACCTACTAAATGCAAATAAGATGTTGATCTACCGCAAGCCCATTTGACGTACTGAAGGTACTGAGAAAGTCGACAAAAGCTCTCCATCCGCATATATAGATATAAACACAGACACCTATGTGTACTCTGTACTTAGTTTTTTACTATCCACTGTATATGCTGCGTATAAAAATATATTGTTGTTTTTTTTTTTGTTCAGATAACTTGGATCGACGGTCTTGGCAACGTGTTACATAATGGAATTGAAACAATAAACGAAAAGTACGAGGACGGACCGCTTTTCACCGTGAGGTCTATTCTTAAGGTGATGCCGCGCAAGGAGCACGATAATACCACATTTACTTGTCAAAGTCAAAATGCTGCGGATCGTACACCGCAAAATGCTAAATTACGTGTTGAGGTAAGCGTTTATTACATAAATATATATTCACGAGTATCAATTAACAATTCAAATTAATAATATAATATATTAATGTGACTGAGACGATTATTAAAATGAAGATAATGAATACGGTTATTAACTTTTTAATAATAATAATAATAATAATAATAATAATAATAAGAGGTGGATTGAAAGTGAGCGATGATCCATCGTATAATTTATTACTTTTGCTAAAATTGCCAATGTTCTTTAGTCTGAGCAGTTGATCTTAATTTTGCTCAACCTCTTATACCAGTTATATTCTCTTTTATTCCCATCTCATCTCTTTTCTCCTCTCATTACGCCTGAAAAGATCTCCAAGACTTATTCTAATACCAGGAATAATTATCAAAGTCTCTTATTACTCTTAAAACTCGGTTTCTCTGTCCCTTACATTCTTTATCATCCACTTAACCGCTTATCCGCGGAGTGGAGAACTTGTCCCTTCTCCTAATATATATGAATACTCCTCGATAGTTGGTAGTAGTTGTTAAGTACCTTAAACTACTCAACATTTTACAACTTATTCTTCATAATTAATAAGTTTATCTCTTTCTCATTTTAATATAGGTCCGCTACGCTCCAAAAGTCTCCCTGAAAATCAGCTCGGGTTTATCAAAGAGTGGCCAGATAGTCGAAGGCTCTGAATTGAGATTCAAATGTCGTGCAGAAGCTAATCCCCCAGAGATGGAGTACAGGTAAATAATTCATAATTATCTGCTAGAATCTTCAGCGCTTTCAGAGATTGAAAAAAAAAAAAAAAAAAAACAAACTAGTGTAAAACTCTTGTTTTTTTGTTCAGTGTCATCATAATACACCTTGAGAATGGTGATTATGAGTGATGACTGTTGGTTTTTAGCAAAAAATTTTTTTTTCGTTACACTGCGTTGAATTTTTTTTTTTTATCTCTCTCGTTTGTGTACTGCTGATGGTTGTTTTGTTTTTCATGCCTATCCATTCGCACATAACAAAATGCTTTCCGATTTCACTCTGTACAGGTGGTATATAAACGAGAAAACGGTAATCGGTGACTATACGACAGAGATGATAATCCATAACGCCACACGGGAACTCCACGATGCTATCGTAAAATGTGAAGTTCACAACGAGGTCGGCAAGAGCGAGGAAACGGAAACACTGGATATAACTTGTAAGTATTATCTTGAATGCCGCGAGCCTCCACCATCACTACTCCTATATATACCTATACATATAAATCCATATGCATTTATACTTAAGATTTATACATTTGGGAGATAATACTAGTCCATATATATAACTGTACCAAATAAACTGATATTATTTTGATTTTTAAAATTCATAAAAAGATTTTTGTTTAATTAGATATAATTTTTTAGTTTATTTTACTTTATTCAATTAACTTGGAACTTTTGAATGAAATTCGATAAGTATCAAAAAAATAATTAACTTGAATCAAAACATTCGTCGTCTTTGTAGAAATGTTCTTGAGGCAAGAAGATATCTTTTTATTTTTTTTTTCTCTGTAGTAAATTTTTAAAAATAACTTTGAGAAGAAAATAACTTTGAAAGTTATTAAACAAGTTGAATTTAAAGTTTTCAGCGGTGAAGCGGTGAAAAGTAATAAGAATTTAAAAGTTTTTATTAATTTTAAAATAAAAAATTAAGTAAATAGGAATGCAATAAAATTGCTGACAGTGATAACAAATATGATAAATTGATAATAAATATTTGTATCTAGATGGACCGCAATTTCGACGTCCACCGATATCTGTTGAAACGCATTACGGCGCAACAGAGATACTGCAGTGCGACGTGGATGGTAATCCAACTCCCGAAATTCTGTGGATTCACGAAGAATCAGATCGTACTGTTGCGACAAGCCCAAATATAAGCGTTGTCGTGAGTCCTGAAACAGCTGGACGTTATTACTGCAAAGCCCATGTTCCTGGTTTTCCTCAACTTATCGGGTATGCCAACATCTTGATTCGCGCACCACCGAGCATCGTATCACAAAGAATCCAATATGTGCCCGATGAAGGAGTAGTAAAGGTAAACTAACAATTCTTGTCCGCTTCCATCACTCCACTGTAAACTCCAGAATGTACACAGTACCAATAAAAATAAATAATAAAAATACAGAGCTAAAAAATGTAGGACAGTACCAGCAGTACTCGCAGCAACAAAGCGAAATACGACTCACAGTTGACGTTCGATTTTAGCTACAATCCTGCCTCCAACTATACCTCCTGCCAGCTCTATATAAATGTTCATTTTTTATTTATTTATATTTTTTACGATAACAACAAAAAATCTAAATCCAGAGAGATTGAATAACCATGAGAAGTAAAATGAAACATCGCACTGCGAAAAAAAAGTGTCCAGTTAAAGTTGTCTTTTTTTAATGTTTTTTTTTTTTTTTTTTTTTCAACTTAAGCTTTTATAACGTATCAACAGGCACACATAGATTTTATTTGCACAGTCAATTTAATTATAATCCTTGTACGTATGCAGATCCGTATGTTGAGACGAGGATAATAAGCAGAGAAGAGACTGTGAGTGCGCCCGTATTGTATATACATATATTGAGAACAGATAATGATTTTCTTTGCAGGTTAAATGCACCGCGATATCAGTGCCAAAAGCTGAGTCTGTTGTATGGAGTTTTGCTGGTCGTGAGTTTAATTTCTCGTTCAACAATACACCCTTCTCCGTCCAAGAGGAGTACACACCAGAAAGAGTTGTCAGCACTGTTACTCTTTTAGAGCCCATATCTACATATTTCGGGGATTACAATTGTACTGTTACAAATAGCTATGGCACAGATACTGTCATCATTAAACTCACTACGCGTGGTAAGTATTCGAGAGTCCTTTTCATCTAAACTTTTTTTATCTTCCTCCTCCTTCTCTGTCTCCTGTTTTTATATAACCACTTTTATTTATATACAGTCAAATTTTTTTTAACTATATAAATTTTATTGTTTCTTTGTCATTTTTTTTTATTTTTAACCTTTTTCATTTTTTATATTTTATTATTAAACTCTCAAAAACTCTATCATTGAATTTAAAATAAAATTAGCTTATATATTTCATTGTTGTATTTTGCTTTGTTTTATTTCTTTTAAAAAAATTTTTTTTATGTTGCTTTAGTAGTTATATAACATATAAACGTGAATTCTTAATTAAAAAATTTTAATAAATAAAATCAGTAGAGCGAAAAAAAAAATATATATATATATATATATATATTAATACATAATTAAAATTTGTCTGGAACAACGGATATTACAAATTGGATTGTGAATCTAAAAAAAGGACGAGACTACTAAAGAAATAATTCAAATGTATTAATAAATATGGTTTTTAATATTCAATATCCGCTTGATAACGGACACTAATAAAATAAGTAAAAAAAAAAAAAAAAAATAAATAAAATAAAATATTAAATCCGTGTTCAATAATAATAATAATAATAATAATTAAAAAAAAAAAAAAAAAAACAAAAACAAAAACGTATTCAGGGGATTTGTTGAAAATAGACGAAAAAAATCTAAATTTTTGAATTGAGAACATGAGATTTAACCAGACGTGACGCTCAGCGTTGATTCCAGTTGATTGGCAACTTATCCTGATAATCGTTGGACTGGTAGTCTGCATCATCCTCATTGGCGTCATAATTATTTTGATACTACACTGTCGAGATCGTATTAAACAACCACGCCCGAGGTCTACTCAAGCTCAGGAGAATGATTTGCGTATGTATTTTCCAAAATTATCCTCTCCAATTTAATACTAATAATACTAATACTAATAATAATATTTTATTTATTTATTTTTTTTTTTTTTTTTTTTTTTTCATTGATAAATTCTATTTGAATATAGAAGAAACAGACTCGAATCCGGATCGTTACCGTGAAAGTGATCGAAGCAGTAATCTGTCGGACGTTAAAGCAGATATACGTGCTGGATCTAGCGTGAGCAACGCTGAGAGCGTGACTGCTCTCGACAGTGAAGGTGAAGGAAGTACCAGGGGTGTAAATGCTTTAGCTCTCGCTGGGCCAGTACCCAACCCAATGGGTTATCGATACAGCGCCGACTACACGGAACCCTCATTTCCACCCAAGAACAACGTAAGTACTTTATTTTATTTAATCCCCATTATTATTTTATTTCTTCTATTTTTTTCCTCAAGTTAACTGTCAATTTTATTTATTGAAGACAAGTAATACCCAACTGGTGCACAATAAATAATAATCATTATTTTTTATTGTTACTGTTGTTTAAGGATGGAAGTAACAATAATGGGTACGTACCGTATGTGGATTATTCGAGAGACTATATGCCACCCAACACCCAGGGGATGGGTGCTTCCCGCGAATCCCTCAGTCGTATACCCTCCAGCGGTATATTAGCTTCCAAAAAGATAGGTCTAAGTTCAGCAAACTTGGGCAATAATACAACACAGACGCCGCCAATAATTGATCCACGGTTCTCGGCAACCTACGGCAATCCTTATCTCAGGTATTCTACTGTTTACTTTTCTTTGATCCTTTATATCAATAATAAATAATAAATAAATAAATAAATAAATAAATAAATAAATAAATAAATATGATACTTGAATCAACAAACATTTTGATTATTTTTTTTAAGGATTACACGCAGTTGGACATTTTTTTTTTTTTTTTATTTAATTTATAAGTTATATTATATAGTAATTTATTTATAAAAATCAATCAGATGTCTGGTGATTTAAGTTTCATATAAATATTTAATATTATCTGAATCTAAATTTGTTGTTATTACATAAATATTGGCTAATTATGTGTACCATTTGAACACGTAGGATGTCAGCGGCCGAGCAACTTAGACACGCGCCTCACACCGCAATACCAGGGGTCACACCAGCTCCGCCACCTTACACTCAAGCTATGCGAATGAATAGTTTGAATACACTGAATGGTGCCGGGCCACAGGTGAGTTGTACATTTCAATATACAAACCCAAAATAATAACAATAATAACAAACTTTCCAAATAAAATATTAATTAAAATTTATCAAAGTTTGGTGTAAAAAAAAATAAAAATGATGAAATGAAAAAAAAAATTAATGGATTACAGGCCCCATTATCAGCGCACTATATAACGGGTGGTCCTAATGGTGGAATAGCCACAGTGAAACGTACATCAGGAATTGGTACACTAGCAACGCATGTATGAGATAAGGACTTTAACTAGAAGTTAGTGCGGTTTAGTGCCGATAAAAATATTATTATCTACAACTGATGAGTGGATTACGTTGGATTTTATTTCTACGGTACGAGTTGATATATAATATAATAAAATAAAATATAAGATGACTATTGTGTTAACGTGTTCGTCAACACTACTCGTACCGAGAAGTTAAATGCCATCAGAGTTAAGTGCTGTATAAAGAGTAGACAATGGTTTTGATCTTATTCAACAACAAGAACAACAAGTGAATAAATCTGTGCCTTTATCATCACCACCGACGTCACTTCATATACGTACATGAAATTAACACTCAATATCAGCACAGACGTAAATCGTAAATCGTAAATCATAATGAGAGATTTACCAACACAGATACGTTTAATTAAATGCGGTGTATTATGTGTACAATATTTAAGTATCTACGGTGATGTGATTATGATAAAATACATCTGGGTTATTATTATCATTATACATGTCAAACAAATAGTTGGCATACTCACCTTGGAATATATACTCGCCTGTGAAAATGATCGTAAGCTCATCCGACAACGATTTCCCGATCTATATATCTATTAATCGTCTAATTAACCATCAAGGAATTCATTAAGTTTATTAAATTAACGATGATATGCAAATGTCAATCGATAATACATGTGTGTCTATCATATACACAGTGAATCTCATTAAGCTGTAAATTTTCCGGGCAATCGAACTATCGTATTATCAACGTTTAAACTCTCTATTAGATGAGATATTTACTTAATAACTTTGATACTACCAGCAAACATTCAAGACTTTGTAATTATTCATCGAGATATTTATTGAGGATCATACCAGACTATTATAACTGTTTATTACCATCCTGAAAGGACATTGCTAGTAATAATAACTGCAATTAATTCCTCGCGTTTACTTTACATAATTATACACTAAAGTAAATAAAAAAGAGCTTCTGAACGCGAGTTTATTAATTAAAAATTATTAAAACAAAAATGTGCAATAGAAAAATTCTCTTTAGAGATAAAAAAATATATATATATATATATATATATATATATATATATTGTTTAAAAAATAAGAGCAATATCGCTGATTTGTGCACTATAAAACAGGGTAGTCAATCAATTGATAAAAAAAAAAAAATAAAAAGAAAAAAAATTGAGAGGCTGCGTATGACAGTACAATTGAATAATTATAACGAGGATAAAATTTATTGAATATTAAACAGCAATTAGCAACGCGTGAGTATATATGGTTAAATGAGTCTCTTTAGAAAAAAATTAAGTGTGTCTGTAATATATAATATATAATAATAATTACAATTGTATATAACTGAAATTATTGCTCATCACCGTATTTCATAAGTTTAGTTAGTATTTTGACTGTGAATCACTGTAACGAAATCTCGGCTTTTTTTAACGGGATTTCTTGCAAACAAATTGTTTTCCTAAATTCAATTTAAATAAATTTATCGAGTGCATTCGATGCACACTAAAATAATACTTTTTTAAATAAAACTAATAGTAAATCACGATTGGAATAATAATAATAATAATAATAATAATAGTAATAATAATAATGCAATTATCTATATCTGAATTCCGGCTTACGATGTGTCTTTCAATCAAGGCTATTTAAAAGTAAAAAAATAAAAACAATAAAATCAGCGATGATTAATTAAACTAAAACTACGTGTCAATAAATGTAAGAAGTAATAAATAATTGCGGCATTAAAAATAAAAAAGAAAAAATTCTTGGCTTTATTATACGTTAAATTGATGAATTATGTGTAATATTTATATATTAATAACGTTAACTGTTAACTATTTAATATTTTGTGCAATTTAATTGCGCGTTATTTGCGAGAGTAGGTATATATCTTCATTAATAAAAATTATTATAATAATAATATTAATAATTTATTATTATTATTATTATTATTATTATTATCATTATTGTAGGTATAAATACAGATAGAATATCTGCAATAAATTATAAAAAATAAAATAAAAATATTTTGCTTATTGAAATTCAAAAATATATAGATTTTATTAAAAAATATTAAGAGTTTTTTTTTGTTCGTTTTTTTTTTTTTTTTTTTTTTTGTTATTAATAATCTATTGAAAGACGCACCGATAAACATAAAATTAAATAAATTTTTCTATTATTACGAGTAGAATTATAAATGTATACTATTGAAAAATAATTGCAATTACTGTGACAAACTGACCTGCGGTAAACTGTTAAAATTAGAAAATTTTATATTGTTTGTTTACTCGACAATTTACGCCTTCTTCACCGCAGGTCACTCAATATATTGATTAATTGATTAGTTGTCAATTATTAAATAAATTAATTTAAATTAAAAATTTAAAAATAAAAAATAAAAAGTGATGTCTGATGCTCATAATCGATTAAACGTCGATTGTAGAAAAAGGAAAATAATAAAAGAAAGTTCCGATTTCAAATTAAAAGTTAAATATAAAAAAAGCTACGAATACTATTCGTCCGATTGAATAACGCTCGAATAATTGACGAAACTTGCATTTATATTGAAAGCAAAATTATTCGATAGTAAAAGTAATTAAATATTAACAATATTCCGATATTATCAAATTAGTAAATTTATCCAAGATTCAACTTTGGGCAATATATAGAGATGAAATACAAATATATGTGTATTATATTTGAATAATATTAATTTATATATATATAAAATATATATTTAAACGCAAAGTTTTCCAATACGTTGATACTTTCCATACTTTAATAACTATATATATTGTACTGTATTAGGATATAAAAAATAAAATAAAAGTGAGACAAAGTGTAATAAATATTTGGTAAAAAAAAAATTTATAATTATTACAGTGCGATTGAACGAGAGGGTTAAACATAAAAAATTCTTCTTTAAATATATTAGCATTTCAACACATTTAAATATAATTATTTGCATTTGTATATTATCAGAAAGTTAAGTATATGAAATAAATAAATAAATAATAAAATAATAATAATTTTGTGTACTTACGTGGCATAAAAAAAAATCAACTATTTTAAATTTGACTGAATGATATAGCGAATAATACATGTATACTGTATATTTTTCTCAAGTTAAAGCTTTCGCGTACAGCATTTATAATTATTTCTCTACACAATAATTAAAACCAAAATACATACACATTATAAATTTACTGTATTATATATTAAATTTTATTTTATTTCTATCAAATTTAAAGTAAAGTAATTATACTATCATTTAAAAGAAGAAATAACTAAAATATAGAAGTAAGATAAAAAAAAATTTCAAAAATCAAAAAAATGTTTAATTACTCAATTAAATAAAAATTGTTCATTAAGTGAAAATAAATAATTATAGTAGTTTAGAGTAAAATGGCCCGAGTACAAAATGTAAAGCAAAAATAATAATTAATTTGACGATTAACTGAAATGTACAACTTTAAATACTTAAAATTCTTGAATTATTTTCAAATTAATGCGAATACGTTTTAAATTGTTTTTGTTTAAGTATTTCCGGAGCTTTTTTATTTATATTGCTTTTACAATGTTTTGAAACTATTCGAGTTATTGCGTTCCACTCGAGTTTCATCTACAAAGCAAATATATATATATATATATATATACATATACTATAACGGACAATAGAAAGGGCCATTTAATATTTTGGCGTAATTCCATACAATCAAGTTAATTAGCTTTCAAATACCCTAACAAAATAAATATACAGATATATTGTCAATTAGTTAAATGACCAACATAAGACTGTTAATTATTATTATTACTATTATTTTAACGTAAAGTTTTATCTTGGCTAATAATTTATCTTACTTGTCACAAAACTTTATTTATTTATTTATTTATTAATATTGTTTATCTGTCGTCCATCCGGTAATAATTCAAAATTAATAAAGTTCAAAAGAAGAAATAAAAAAAATAAGTTTATTGATTTTCTATTCAACATTTGATTGATCTACGTGTAATGTACAGCGCGCGGATATTTGTCTAAAGAGTTTAAATAAAGTAACTTTTACGTGTGAAAGAAGATAAATGATTTTAAAGCAATTTTGTAATAACACTAACTGTTGAAAATACTGAAAGAGCATTAATTATAATGTTGTATAATAATAAGCTATAGGTAGACACCCTCCGACTTTGCCTTGTAAATATGCTGACTATACCAATCAGTAAACAAGTAAAACAAAACTTATATTATAATTATAATAATAATAATAATAATAATTATCATTAAAATTTGTATATTGAAATTTCGTGCACAAATACTGAAGAAAGAGAAAAAAACCACTGCTTTTAAAATTTCTTACGTCAACCTAATTATTCACTTAATATCAAACAAATAAAATAGCTTGCTGTAAATTTATTTAAAACAAATCTAAATTTTATCTAAAACTTCCTCCGTCAGTGGTGCCTGGATATAAATTTTTATTCTCTTATTATTAATTGTAAGATCTTCCGTTTATAAAGACATCAACAATACCCAACAATATATTTATTTATGTGTATATAAACATAAACAAATCACACAAACACAAAACATATCGTATTGAAACATTCATCCTACAGCGTGCCAACAATATTTTCATTTCAGTGCTTTTATTTTACTCATTTTTATATTTAGTTAAATAAACCTACATAGAGATTTAATCTGTACTTTATTTTTTTCAATTATTATTATTATTATTATTCGATGAAAATAATATTTTATTACCAAAGACATTTTATTTTATGTTGTACATGCTTTGTATGTTGTATTTTGTTTGTAATTAATTTAATTAACGTGTGCGCCACGTTTTACATCAGTATAAAACAATTTTACTGATACAAAGTGCTTTAATTTTTTAAATTATGTTTTTATTACTTAAATTTATTAATTATTATTATTATTATTATTATCACATTATGCAATAAATTTTTTTTTATTTTTATTTCTTCATTAAAAGCCATCT